GCTCTGCATCATAGACAGCGTTGGCAACTATTATCTCAAGAAAAACAATCCTCACACATGCTTGTATTCGTTGTCATTTTCATTGAGAACCTAATCATAATTCAATAATAATGAGCACGTCCGGATCTAATAACGGGTTGAACTGATGGCACTTTGTAGAGATGTTATAGGTGTTGTGTGTTGTGTGTGTTTCCTGGAACAGTACGAGGGATGGGTGACCCCCAGGATAGCTAGTCCTGTCCATGTACCTGTGCAGCCGTCTTTCTAAAAACTCTTGCAGTCAATCGACCTGTCCTCCAACCTACCTTTTCTGTAGGGTCTCAGGGGAAATTGGCTCTCGGGAGCGGATCCCCCGTCATGCTCAGGGCGGCTGAAATAGGATGACAGGTGGTCCGGCCCCCACCGCGACCCCCTCTGTGTGGCCGTGGCACAGAGAAGCAAGTGGGGGATCCTGCTTTTCTCTTCCACTCTCGCCAAGGAAAAGGCTACTTGAATGTGGTGCAATTTTCCTATGAAAAGTTGCTGATGGAATCCTGTTTTCTCATCATTTTCAAATGCATTTCAGGGTAATGCAATAGACTTAATGTTCAAAATTGTTTAGTCCAGGATGCTGTAAGCACATCCCTCTTCTTCTCTGTGATGATCAGCCAGTGGAGGTCCTGATAAAGGGGTGGGCTGGGAGTTCCCTGTGTGGTGCCGGGCAAGGCACAAGGATCTGAGTTTTCACATTCCCCTGCAACAGCTGGGGATTTTCTCTGGCCCTCACTTTCCCCGTACCAGAATACGTCCTTAATGATGGAATGATCCAATTGGTTACGTCGCAAAATATATCTTTATAAAACAGCCACCGTCTGCCACCCAGCCCCACCCCACTCCGCTCTTGGCTGGACTTGATTTAGCCGGTGCTCTTCAGCGCGGCTGGATTTCGAGTTTAAGCAAACTTGCAGGGGTCCTATCAATCAAGGCCCACCGGCGTCAGTGTGGAAGGCTGTTCTGCAGATGCCCAGGATGTAAGGAGCGGTAGAAAGTTTATTTGGTGGCTCATGTAGGAGTTGATGGTTTGGACCATCGTGACCGTGGCTCCGACTACTTTGCCCAGAGGAAGCCGGTGGAGCCGGGAGAGGCTCAGCCTCGGGTGTCCCTGGTTGCCTGGCCAAGCCACGGGGTCCCCGTGGGGTCCTGTCCCTTGGTCTTTGCATCCTCCATCCTCCCTCTGACTTCATTTATGTGGACTTTATTTTTGTTAAGCTGAGCAGTAGGTCCAGAATTCCCCTATAACCAAGGTTTGCTAAAAGTGAAGTTTTTTTTTTAATTGTCCTATAGAATAAAAGCAGAAAAGGAAGAGTCTCGTTGTGTTTTCCCACAGAGGGAAGACAGACCAAATCCCTGGTACCTGCAGCCCTTTCCTGTCCTCCAGCAGCAGCTCTTACCCCCAAAGGGGGTTTTCCTCATCCTGCAGGGTCCCCCACTGTGTCCTGCTGGTGCATCAGCGGGAAGAGCTCAGGGCGGGTTCGCTGCAGCCTCCCTGGGGACGCTGAGGGTCTGGAGGCCTTTGCAGACCAGGCCCCCTAGAAGGAATGACCAGGTGCACATTCCTGAGCGTCAGGGCACAGAGTTACTCACCCCGGACCCTCTGGGTGGCGCGGGGCTGGCGACTCATCACACAAGCATCAGACAGGGGGACAAGAGAAAAAGCAAAAGCTGTTTCTTGATGACACGGGGGCCCTGCAGGCTTCAGACGCATCTTTGGGGGCTCAGCTGAGCCAGGGAGTGGGGCACCAGACAGAGGAACGTGGACTTGAGCTCTGCCTGCTGGGGGTGGAGCGGCGGCTCCGGCACACGGCTCTACAGACGCCCAGCCTCCGCCCGCCCAGACCCCGCCCGGAAGCCGGTCTTTGCCAAAGGCCGTGTGTGGGGGTAGATGTTGGCCCTCGTGCCCGGCCGAGGAGCCTCCTGCTGGAACGTCTTAGGACAGAGGCAGCCGGAGAGATGTCAGCGGAGGTCGAGAGAGGTAACAGGGGCCGCCGGGGACCCTGGGGTGCGTCTGCTGGCCGGGTCCTGGGGCACAGAGTCCAGCAGACACCAGCTACGGTGTGGACGGTGTTTATTTATCATGTGCACACGCGTTCACATGCAGATGCGTGTGCACAGGTATGCACGGCGTGTGTTTTACTATAAATAGATTGTATTTCCTTGTCACGCCGTGAGTAAAGTAAGCTGGACTCTAACAGCGGTTTTGGTGACTCTGGACGTAGAAAAAAGCTCTTCAATAGCTGCCGTGAAGCTCCCCCTCGTGTTGCGGGTCTGGACCCGCCTGAGGACGGAGGTCCGGGTCAGCATCAGCACGTGGGCCCCCCCGGCCGCCTTGCCCATCCGGGGGAAGCCGCCAGTTGGACCTGAAGCGATCAAGAAGCGTGGGCTGTCGCCGGTGCCATCACCCCTTCTGCACAATGGCTTCGCAAAGTGGATTTCTTGGGTGAAACCTCTGGCCACCTCACCCTGTGTCATGCCTGTGAGCTCGTTTTCTGTCTCTGCGGGCCTCGGCGGCTGGTAGGCGGACATCACGCTCCCGAACTGCGGTGACTGTCCTGCGTGCCCCGTCCGCGGAGGAGGAAGCAGTGGGTCGGGGCTGGACCCGACAGAGTGTCCCGAGGAAGCCCGCGCGGCCTGAGCTCCGCACTGTGCTGTGCAGGCCACACGCGTGCTGGTTCGCTTTGAACTTCCCGCGCCGGGATCGCGGAAGACAAAGATTGTTTTACGCTGTGAGCGGCCTAAGCAGCTCGCCCAGACCCTGTGACTTGCGTGCTCGCGGGGCTCTCCGTGGACGCCAGAGTGAGAGCAAGATGTAACAACGCTCAGGCTAAGTCAGAAGCGTTTCCTAAGGCTGGGGCCGGAGAAGGCTCCGCTTTGTAGGTGGGTTTGCATCCCGGGTCATGCGTGTTGCTCGCCGCGCGGGAGCCGCCTGGCCCGGCAGGGTCTCTGCGTGCCCGTGTCTCTGCAGCCGGGAGACATTCGCAGTCAGCTGGGCTCGGATGCGTCCGGAGCCGGCGGCCTGGGCGTCGCTGCCGCTGAGACACTCCGCCCTGTTCCTGTTTCTGCCAGGGGCACCCGAGCTGTCTGAAAGTCGTGGCCGAAACAAAAAATCTTGGGGGTTCAGAAGCTGGGGGAGGCATTGCCTTTCTCACAGGGCTTGGGAAACAAGAACATAAATGTCCCACCTCAAGGACAGGGGCCGAGCTGTCTCCCTAGTCTGGCTTTTCCCTAGACGAAAAATTCAGGAATTGGTGGGAACTCACTGAATTCCATCCTCTGAGATTTTCTGGGATTTACCATGAGCTGGCTTCTGGGGCTCGCCGTGAGCTGGCTCCTGGGGTTCACCGTGAGCTGGCTCCTGGGGTTCACTGTGAGCTGGCTCCTGGGGCTCACCGTGAGCTGGCTCCTGGGGTTCACCGTGAGCTGGCTCCTAGGGTTCACTATGAGCTGGCTCCTGGGGCTCGCCGTGAGCTGGCTCCTGGGGTTCACCGTGAGCTGGCTCCTGGGGTTCACCGTGAGCTGGCTCCTGGGACTCACCGTGAGCTGGCTCCTGGGGCTCGCCGTGAGCTGGTTCCTGGGGTTCACCATGAGCTGGCTCCGCCTGCATCCCCAGGTCCTCGGAAGATGGTTAAGTCACATCTCTGCACCCCGTGGCGTTGAAGCACTGTGGCCTTCGGGGCACGAGGTGAGCAGAAGACTCAGCACTGGCTGTCCCCACTGCACCTATGATCTCCCTGCATCTACAATCTAGACGGAGGGGCTTTACATTGTGCAAGCAGCAGACATTACCAGAGGGGTCATGGCGACAGCTTCCATGTTTCCCCCTGCGTCCCCACGTAGGGAAGCACAGCCTCTCCTCCTGCACCCTGCGTAGAGCTCCTCGCAAACCTGAGCTTGTCGGGCGCTCTCTGCTCTCCCTCTTTCTGCCTAAGAGCGGGACATAAATTCCCCTTTGCAAAGGCAACAAATTTCCATTTGTAAGCATCTCTGTTATACCAGAAGAGGAGAATGACTAAATCATCAGGGATGAATCTTACGTCTGGAGAGGCTGTGAGCTTGATTCTGAATAAGAGCCACAGTGAAGATTCATTCCTCGTCACCTGCACAATTTACTGCCCCCCGAAACGGAACCAGCCCCTTTCTTAGTTCTAATCACTTCTGTAAACTTTATCACCCTTTGTTAAAATAGCTGCCATGGTTTTCATTTCCTTCTTAGAAGCCCCCTGTAAAATTATTAACATTATGCCTTTGTTCCCTCTTCATCGGGCCTTTGTCTGTTTAATTGGCGTGCCCTGGGCACTGGATTTAAGGGCGTAGAATATAAGTTTTTCCTCTCCTAGAGGACACAAGGGTTTCCACACCCCAGGAAGGGGAGAGGAGTAGAGCCGACTTGGAGGGGTCTGCCGTGGTGAGGATAGGATCGCACACACAGCCCCATCGCCACTGCCCAGACCAAGGTGGACTTCCTGGCAGAGGGAGGCAGAGGAAGACACAGAGCTGATCACAGCATGGTGCACCTCGTAATATAAGAGGCGGGGTACTCTCCCAACAATCCCCAAAGCAGACAGGATGAAGGGATGATCTTCCTCTGCAAACGTGCGTCATGCACTCTGCTGGTGGTCCAGGCCGTGGAGGCTGGAAGAACCTCCTTGGTGTTTCTCCCTGGCTAGGGTGGACAGTCCTTGGGCTGTGACCTGCTCATCTTGGGGTATCCACATCCCCAGCAGCATCAGCACCCTCCGGGGTTGTTAGACGTGTGCAACTGGCCTCCTCAATCAGAACCTGCGTTGGAGTAGGGTCCTGGGTGATTTGTATGCTCATTAAAGTTTGAGAAGCGCCGTTCCAAGGAGTGATCAATAACCATTTGTAGAAATAATGAATAAATGAATGTGTACATGAATAGATAATTGAATAAGTGGCGCAATTAAGAACTAGCTAATGGTATGTCTTTCTTCACCCTTGTTAAGCATGCTTCGCTGCGGAGGACCGAGCTGCTGGCTTGTGAGCCAGGCGTCTCTAAGAGGAAGGGGTTACTTTTCCCTCTCCATCTGCTGCAAAGGTGAAGTATGACTCGGCCCACCCTCCTTTTGCCTCGTTGTCTTGGGATCCATGCTAATGTAATTGAAGCTGTTTTTTTTTTTTTTTTTCTCCTGCTAATCTGTGGTTAGTTTCATTGCTCCCCAGCCCCAGAAGATCCCAGGGGGTAGGGGTGCATCATCTCTGCCTTGACACTTGCCAGTGGGTGGCTCCTGTTGAATTACCCTCCTTAGGGCATCACAGGGATCCGAATAGCGACTGCTGAGCAGCGAGTGAGCCTAATGTCACTCTCTCCTCCTGCATCCATGTGCTGTTGGCTTACTGAGTGTGTGCTGAGCAGAGAGCGTGTGCTGGGTCCAAAGTCTGTGGAGCACAAGGCTGCTGTCTTTGAGATGCTCCCCTTTGTACGGGAAAGGTGACATGGTGAAGAACCAGCAGTGAAACGCCAACTGGAGGTGTTAGGGACGAGCAGAGCAGGCTGTGAACTCGCGCTGCAGAAGGGGGAGAGGCCTGGTCTCAGCTGCGGTGCCCTGCAGGAGACCTGCAGGGCTCATGGAGAATTCTCCTTAATCCTCTCCCTCCACTCAGCCCGCGTGGGGAATCCTCCATCAGATTTCTGCCAGTCCACAGCTCAAGTGGCTTAGGCGTCCACAGAGCAATTTAGAGGGAACTTGTCTTTGAGGTCATTTCACTGAACTTGTCCTCCAGGGAAGAGAAGTTGATAAAACAAAGACTTCCTGGGGCCTGTTGGGGGACAGAGTCTGCAGTTCTGCCTCCTGCATCACTTAACTCCTCCCAGGGGTTCAGGCCGACAGACATCCTGACACCCTCTGGGTGTCTCTTGAAATGCTTTTCCCCCTCAGATCGTCACAGACAAGGGGAGTTGTGCTCTAAGCAGCCACCCAGTTTCCTGGCAGTGAATGCTACTGCAGAGATGTCTTCTCCAGGAAGAGAGTGACTCCTGGAGCTGATTCTTGTCATCTCCACTGAAGGAATTTCCCAAGGGGAAGGAAAATAGATACACACATCTTACTTCGAGGCAGTTAGGGGGAGATAAAGATCTTCTCTTGTGTCAGCCTGTAGTCTGCAATAATAATTGAAAGGGGCAGCATATTCGGGTGCTCTTCAAACACTATCAGGTCTACCAGGACACTCCCAGGACAGCCCAGCACAGAACCCCAAGTCCAGCAATTTCCAATTTGCCAGTGGAAGGGGTGGAGGTCAGAATTGGGGTGAAATAGCTACAACACACACCATGGAAGTGAGGTTTGTGGGGCTTGGTTGTCAAGAAAGGCAGTTTTGTCCTGCAGATGTTTAAGCAGATGCACACAGAGGGGCTGAGTTGCTTATGTGACTGGTGTGTTAGAGCTGGTGGGCACTTTTGAGGTGGTTCCGGCATAAATAGGAGTAGGAGAAGTGGTTAGAGAGGCAGCATGCAGTCCAGCAGCAATTACACATGCTGTGTATTTTTCTATAGCTTTTGACTCCTTTTGGTTACATATATAAACTTAGACGTGGCTACAGCAGGCCGCCCTGGTTTTCACAGGGGCTTCATCTTGCTAAGCTTGGAAGCAAAGGATTCAAGCAAATGGATATTCAGGCAGGTAGGAGGTCATTGTTCTTAAGGAAGTCTAGAATAAAGCAGCCAGGGGATATGGCTAGAAAAGTTCTCAAAGGGCCCTCTTAGCTGCAAGGTATATGGTTGATGTCAACCCCAAGGAGCCTTCCAGAGCTTTTCTGGACATACTCAGAAGGGATTAGCAGCAGGACTGCCGAGCTTAGAAATTTCTCTCCCCAGAGGTTGAGTTTGGGGGATCAATACAGTAAGGAATTCAGATAGATGAGAATTCGGCGTTGAATATTTGCTGGGTATAAAATAGCTTCATTGTGGGTTTGTTGGAGGCGTTGGTGAGTCTGGTTTCTAGCTCACATCACATTGTGGATGCTCCACTCATTCCAGGTGATGTTCTTCCAGCTGCTATTTTGATACCAGTTTCCCCTTCCTGAGCTTGCTGAGGATGGTGGTGGAAGCAGCACTCATTGCGGTCATGGAGACGTCAGAACCTAAACCCACAACAGAGGATGTGGGAAGCGGTACCAACCCCAGGATATGAGGAAACAGTGCCAGGAGGGGAGTTCCAGCCTCAAGTCCTCCCGTGAGCAGCCAGGCTGCCTTCTGAAGACTTTATATACCGGCCCGAGTCTTCTCAAGATGCATTAAACTGTATAAATATCTGATCCAGGTTTTCAAAGTCCATTCGCCTTGAAGCATTGATTAGTTTTGATTAGGCAGAGCACCATGAGAAATATGGAAAAAGGGATCATTTTTTCCAGAATGGGAGCTGAGCTTTCAGATGGACTAAGTTAGGGGGTCAGCAGCTCTGGTGTGGGTGGCCTTGACAGCTGGATTACAGCACTGCTTTTTCAAAGATGCTCGTGTAGCATAATGCTAATGATGGTTTAGAGATGCCATCCCACCTTAAGGTCAGAGGAGCAGTCTCAGGATACAGAAAGTATGTTTTGCTGTAGTGCATCCACACAGACACATTTCAAGGTGTGTTTGTTCTCTTGGAAAGCAGCAGAGGAAAGAGATGAAGTGGTGTGTTGCTATTTTTAACTTATGGTTAGGGACTAAGCAGAAAGACAAAGACTGAATAGGAAGACAATGGTGGAAAGGTACTACAATGACAGATTTTAATGAGACTCTACGTAGCCTTGGGAGAAGCTCAGGGGTAGAAATCTGTAAGGGGGAGCAGGAGAGGACAGCCACAAGCCAGGGAGCATGACCAAGGAGCTGGGAGGGGTGTCTCTGGTGGGCCAAAGCCCCTGTTTCTGATCGTGAACCCCAAGTGAGCAGGGAAGACAGATCAGAGGGAAGCTGGACATAGACAGTGGTCTCAGGGGCTCTAATTTGGGGTTATCAATGAAATAACCTTTCGATCGGAGAGACCTGTGTCTGCAGAAAGGCCAACATCTCCTCATCGGGTCTTGTCTTTTGAATCCCCCTCCTCTCTCTGAAGCCACAGGCTGCTCAGGCTAAAAACCCTCCTTCTAGACTCATTTACTTTAGAATGTACATCCATGTACATTCTCCATATCTATGTAATTCAATCTGGTCTATAACCCCCAACCTGTCTGATGTGAATCTGACTGTTTGATCAAACCAGAGAAGAGCCCTGGGGGTGAGGGCACTCCTTCCTGCCAGGATATTCGGGGCCAGCTCCTTCCACTGCTCCCAGCAGGGGAGTCTCCCCCAGCAGCACCTGTATGTGCTCCCCTCTTGCTCAGCAGGGCCCTGTAGTGTCCACTAGAAGTCACAGGTCCTAGCTGACACTCCTGGCAGCCTCCCGGGTACGGTCACCCACCGGGAGTGGCCACTCTCCAATCAGGTTCTTTGTTCCTTTTGTGGGATGAGGCATAAGCCTCCTCACTAAAGGACTTTGATGCTTTTGAGGCTGGCAAGTGGGGCTGGTCTATGTAGGAACATGCTCCTCTTGGTGTTTAGGTGCTATTCAGAAATTTGTTTGATTTTTTTTTTTTTTTAATTTTCTTACATCATTGTTCATTTGGAGGCAGTATTTGGTTTCTCCTCTCAGGTCCTGTCCTCATAGTTCTCCCACCACCGTGGCCCCTGTGATCCATCACCACAGTTTCCTGTGCTCTTCTCTCCCCTGTTATAACCCCTCTTCCTCTCCCTGCCCTGCTGGATGCCTCAGATCTATGGTCAGCCTGCAAGTTTTGTCTTTTTCCTGTCTCTTTATTTGGTTTCTCTGTATTCCACATGTAAGTGAAACCATGCTGTATTTTTGTTCTTCTTTCTGGCTTATTTCACTGAGCATCCTTCCTTCCAGCTCCATCCATGTTGCTGCAAATGGCATGAGTTTATCCTTTTGATGGCTGCGTAGTATTCCGTTCTGTATATAGACCACATCTTCTTGATCCACTCGTCTGTCCTGGGGCATTTCGGTTGTTTCCTTAACTTGACGATTGTAAATAGTGGTGAAATAAGCACAGGGATGCAGAAAACAAAGGCAAAGCCGTCCACAGCATACGCCTCCAAACCATCTGTGAGGACGTATCTCCAGAGGCAAAGAAAATGAAGGAAAAAAATAAACCACTGTGACGCCATCAAAATAAGAAATTTCTGCAGAGCAAAAGAGACAGGAACCAAAGCAAAGAGACACCCTACTAAGTGGGAGAAAATATTTGCACATCATACAACTGATAAGGGTCTGATACCAAAGACCTACAGAGCATTCACACAACTCAACCAAAACAAAGCAACCCAGTCAAAAAATGGGCAGAAGTGCTAAAAAGACACTTCTCTAGTCAAAATTTTAAAACACAGAAAAACAGGCCAAGTAGAATCTATTTCACCCACACATGGATTTTTTTTTTTTTCTCTGGAAAGAGCTTTTCTAGCAAAGCTGTGCTCTTCAGATTTGCTGGTCTGTTGCTATAGCAATGCAAATATTGCAACAGAACGTGAAATGAAACATATACAAATGGTCTACCCCTGCCACTGGCTCTCTTTCTTGAACAATTAATTACTATAAAGTGGGCAAGTGCACACTCAGCGCCTCTTGATAGAATTTCTTATTTGCTTCCATTTTAAAAGACCATCCGAAGAGGAACATTCCAGGTTGTTGAAGAAGTCTCGGTCCTGAAGCTGGTGTGCATTTCCCCGGCCAGTCTTCATGGGGAGATATCGGCTTCATCTGCCCGAAATCATCTCGTCCTTGGCCTGCGGTTCCCTGCAAGCGCGGAACGACATATATTTGTTCTGTGACTGAAGATAACGAGAAAGGACTTGGGGGTAAGAAACAGCATTGCTATTTTTTTTGTCTCTCATTGAAAAGTGAAACAGATGGTCCTTATTGAACATTCTCAGATGTATGACACCCCAGATTTTGTCTGGGAAAAAAAAGACGATTAAGATGTGATTTGTGAGGTTTTGACAAACCGCTGATACAACACACGCTTGGCCTGGTCTGCCAACGTGAAATACTTCTGGAAATAGAACGGGCTCTATTTTTATGTGTGCTTGCTTAAAAGAGGAGTGAGTTTCCTTGAAATATGGTTTCCAAGTTTCAGAGTTATGGTGCGTGAATGTGTTTCACTCTAACTCAGAAGGCCTATTGGGGGAACGGAGAGGCAGAATGAGGGCCCCTGAATGGCCACCGCTCTGTCCCTATGATCCAGTGCTCCTTGGAGACATCTTTTTAGCCACGTGAATGTCATTTTTAAAGATTCCTGTTTACAGAATTGTTTTTCTTCTTCCTTCTCTTTGTGTGTATAGAATGATTTTAAGAGACCATATTCCCCTTGTATTTTTGTTCTTCTTTCTGGCTTATTTCACTGAGCATCCTTCCTTCCAGCTCCATCCATGTTGCTGCAAATGGCATGAGTTTATCCTTTTGATGGCTGCGTAGTATTCCGTTCTGTATATAGACCACATCTTCTTGATCCACTCGTCTGTCCTGGGGCATTTCGGTTGGGGGGCAAATAACGAGATTCCTGGCTTTAAACATTAGATTTTCATTTGTATATTTATTCCCACCAGTCCCTTAGGCTGTTCAGATGATTAAGGGAGTCAGGCTGTCCAGGCGTTAATGTTTCTACATCTACAATATGTCTGGTCTTAGGCAAGTGACTTCATTTCTGCAGTTTCTTGTGCTGTCAATGCGGGTGATGCAAATGTGTACTTTGTGGGGTTGTAAGAACTTCTTGGATCCAGCGATCCCACTTCAGGTATATAGCAAAGGAAATGAAAGCATTGTCCCAAGGAGATCTCCCCACGCCATTGTTCATGACGGCATTAGGCATGTAGCCAAGGTCTGAAGCGCTCCGCGTCCGTCAATGGCAGAATCCACCAAGAAGAGGTGGTATTAGACGCGGTGGAATATTACGCAGCCTTTACAAAGGCTGTCGTTTGCGACAATGTGGACGGTGAGTCTCACTTATCTGCTACGTGAGATGAGTCACAAATAGTGGAATCACGTTTGCGGGCAGGATGATAAACTCACAAAAACAGAATGTATGATGGTTTGGGGTGGGGAGGTTGGGGAGGGGAAAACAAAGCTATAAACTTTCAGTTATAAGATGAACAAGATCAAGAATCTAACGTCTAAAAAGGTGATTCTACTTGACACCGATGTTTTGAATCATTGACATCTGGGAGGAGAGAACTTGTTCTCAGCCGAAGAAGGGGGAAACGTGGTCTGTTTGGTGATGGATGTGGGGGAGTCCTTTCCATATGGAGCTGCGTATTGTTGACTCGATGTCAATTATACTTCATTAAACCGAACCAAGCAAAATGTACGCGAGATCTACCCTTTACCCGTTTGATTTGCCTTCATTCTGCACTGGACACAGTATGTTTTTAGAGTCAACCTGGATTAAATTCAGCATTGATCTCCCAACCTCAACGAGCAAAATGAACATCTTACTTGGGGGAGAATCAAAGATAAAGACAGGCCAACCCCTTCCAGAACCCAGCTGGTCGAGGGAGCGGAGGGCCAGACTGGAGCTCAGCCTGCTGCCATCCCATCCCATCAGACTCTGTCTCAGCTCTTGCCCCGGACCAGCCACATCCTATCCCCTGAGCGCAGAGGCCTCCACCCCACACCTGGGCAGTTCTGGGCAGGCCTCAGCGTCCTCCAGCGTGGAAGAGCAAATCACCTGCCCGCAGAGACCGGGCTCCAGAAAGCGCTTGGAAATGCGTGGCACGTATCCTAGAGGCAGGGCAGAAATGAAAGCTATTAATAACACGAACAGCAATAAAATGCAGCAGTAAGTGCCTTAGATGTGGGAGCCCAACAGAAATGTAGGGAACAACAATCTCCCAGCCCCACACCGTGCTGGTCCCTCCTCCATCTCTCTGCCAAGCAGCTCCAGCTCTGTGCTCATCTTCCATCTGCCCGGGGGTCACCCTGCGATTCTGGAGACAGTCTTGGTTGCCCAGCTGGGAGGGAGGGTGGTGGGTCGAAGCCAGGGGTGCCGCGAAACACCACCCAGCACCCAGGCTGATCCGGGATTGTACAAAGCAGACATTGCTCGAGGGCAGGTCTTGCGATAGGCAGGCGGGTAGCAGAGAGGTGTGCCCACAACACATCACCGGGGAGCAGGGCCGGGCAAGTAACTCGGAGAAGGAAAGGGAGGAATCAGAACTTCAACCAGAAAGTGAAAGGAGCCGAGGTCTTGCCCGGGAGATTGTCGTGGAAGCTGGGAACAAATAGGAAGGTACGCGGCGAGGCAAAGGCCTGAAACGAACTCACGAGAGGTCGCGAGTCAAGCACAGACCGCGCGTGCGAGGGGAGCGCCCGAGTGTGTGAGCAGCAACCGGAGAATTATCTCATTAGCAACACATGGTCACATTAGTTCTGTGATAAAACCCAGTCGTAAAAACTCACATCCAGGGAGAGTCCCTTAATGGGTCACCTCAATCGACGCCCCAATTCCCCTTGCTCTTGCTCTTTTTATTAATGTGACGGTTTGGGGGATTGTTTGTGGACACAAGGCTGTGTCCACGTGGACGAACCTCTCCCTTGTGCATCAGGAAACTGTAAACGTGGTTGTCAAGCGGCGGGGGGCGTTGCTGTCATCCGTCAAAAGCCAAGACTTGTCGGGTCCCGGGAGGCCTTTCTGGGCAGGTTCCCGTGGGTCACTCCGGCCCTGCGCCCACGAATCAGGACCGCCGGCTGCTGCACGAGCCTTGCAGAGCACAAACACGCGCCTTTTTCCGGCTCAGCACGTCGGTGTAGTGATAAATAGGTAACGGCTTTTGTGCTATTCGTCTCCTTTGGATCAGCCTCGGCCGTCATCGCACACAAAGCCACGGGCCCGTGGCTTCCCTCATGAGAAAATTCCGTTTGTCTGCCCCGTCTTGCTTCCCTTCTGTGCAGAGCAGAGGCGAAAACCTGCTAGCGTGATTCTTGCTTCATTGTTCTAATTCCCATGCTAGGCCGCGGTGCAGGCCATGGTCCGTTCCCTCCTCCCGCCACGGGGCTGTCTCCCCTATGGTGTTCTCGCCCCGAGAGGCACCGCCAGGGGCCTGAGGCAGCGCTGATGAGGAGTCGGGGGCAGGACAGCGGGAAGGGGGGGCTCTCCGCCTCAGGGCAACCTCGTTGTCCCTGGATGTGATGAGCCGTCGCCCCCGGTTATGACGGAATCAGGGCGCCCTGGTGGGCTCCGTCCCCGCGCCGTCGAGACAGGGGACAGGCACGGATGACGGTGGGATTTGTAAGCAGCTTTGCGCGTCAGGAGCTCCGTGCAGGTCAGCCCCAGGCGGCTAAGGGGGTGGAGTGACGAGACCGGGGCTGTCTTGTCTGGGGGTGGCTCTCTGGAGGTCATTATCGTTCCCAAACCCCACGTGGAAGGCTGGGTCTTCTGTGGCGGCTCACCTGGGTCAGAATCGCACCAGCCGCAAACCAGGGTTGCAGACAAGCGGCCTGCGAGCCGTCGTCCTTGGGGGTCACGCCCGTGACCGTCACCAAACACCGGCCCTCGTCAGGGAAGGCGCTCGCAGCGGTCACGGAGAAGCCAGGTCCTTCTGTTCTCTGCGCTGCTTGTTAGGCTAATGAGCAGGGAAGAAACTCCTAGGGACAGCCCTGGCGACTTTCAGAAGAAATGTGTATTTAAACCTAAGGAAACCAGAAAAATCACAAGTTGCACCTGCTCTGAGGGAAGCAGAAGCCCTGGGTCAGCTGTGGGGAACCGCCGTCTGGGGTCAGCTGTGATAATACAAGTGTCCGGTGATAACGAGACAGCAGCTGCCGGGTCCGAGCGGGAAGGGCAGCAGCTGCTGACCTGCTCAGGGGCTGCTGCCTCATTATGTGATGCTTGAGCTGCAGAAGCCTCTGCCATCCCTTTTAAGTTGAAAAGGCTCAACTTCAGAACATGCAGCCCCTGTCGGGGTCCTCCTGTGACTCATGAGAGTGATGATCTATGTGTATCGCCTCAAATTGGCATAAATGTGTGGGGCTAAGCTATTCTCTGCTAAGTGGGACCCGTCACATTAATAGACAGCCTCTGGGGAGGTCCTTAAGCGACCGATTCCAAGATTCTGAGTCTGGGCCGGAGCCAAGGCGGTACTTCTGGGTCTGGGCCCGAGATGCTGTATTGCACCCCAGTTCCGTGGAGGAGCAGGGCTTACCTTTGCACAAAACTTCGCTTTTTATGCAAAGGCCAGAGAAAAAACATTCCTGGCTTTATGGTCCAGATACTTTGTGCCAACTGCCCCCTTGCAGCTCCAAAAGCCGCCAGAGACAATGCAAAAAGTAAACACGTGGGGCCTTTTCAGTGAAATGTTAAAAATGCACACCAGAATTTGCATTTCATGCAAGTTTCACATCACAAAATATTATTCTTTTTGATTTCCTTCAGCACTTAAAAATGCAGCAAGCATTCTTAGCTCATCAACTGGAGTTCAGATTGGGCCCCGGCAGATGGCTGACTAATGACTGTTTAAGTGAGCCCTGGGTGGTAGGTGGACTTGTGTGTGAGAGCAGAAAAGAGTCTGAAAAAGAGCTTTGCTTTCCCCTGCACCCCCACACTTGGCTTAGGAGACGTCTCGGAAAGAAAGAGAAACAAGGTGAGCGTCTATGCCAGTGATCTCCCTGGATATGTGGCTGTTGAGGTCGCCTGCATTTCTGCATGTTGCCTGGAACTTCTAGAAAGGAGGTTGCCAGTAGGTTTCAACCATCTGTTGAATGGCTGGGTATTTGGTACCAGGTTGTGGATCCAATGAACAGCGAAATAGCGAGTTTTGTCGGGATTAGCCATTGTCTGACAGGGTGAATTGACGGTGCAGGGGAC